GCGGCTGTGGCTGAGTGGTTAGAGCAGTCGTTCTCCAATGCAAGAGTTGAGGGTTCAAATCCACCAGCAGTCACATGCCCAAGTGTCCTTGGGCAAGACACTGAACCCCTCATAGCCTCTGATGTGTGTCCCATCGGTGTATGAATGTGATAAAGCTCTGATTAGTCTCTTTAGAATGATTTGTTCAATTAGCTCTGTAGAGATCAAGTAGAGTGCTGTATGAATGGGTAAATGAGGACATAGATTGTAGCGTAAAGCGCTTTGAGTGTCTTGATAAGATAGAAAGGCGCTATATAAGTACAGTCCGTTCATTCCATTCATCTATCTATATATATATATATATATATATATATATATATATATATATATATATAAGTTGCATTACCAAATCTATCCAATAATATCACATTCATCCAACTCTCTAAATCAGCATCAGATCCCTGTACCCATAACATGATTTGATTGTGTCGGAATGTGTCAAACGCCCACAAAAAGTATTCAATTCCTTTAAAATGACTTTCCAAACCCAACTCAGAGAACAGATTATTGAAAAGTACAAGTCAGGGGATGATACAAAAATATTTCCAAGGCCCGAAACATTCCCAGAAGTTCTGTTAAGTCCATCATCAAGAAAAGGAAGGAAAATTGCCTGTTCTGTTGTCTTCATACATCTCCTCCTACATGTCTCTGCATGAGTGCAGCTACAGCGTGCGCTCTCAGGACATTATTACCTGCAGTGTTCCCTCAGTGCGGACTGAACTTGGCAAAAGGGTCTTCTCCTACTCCGCTCCTGTTTCCTGGAATATCTTACAAAAAGATCTGAAGCTCTCGACCTTGACCTCTCTAAGTGGCTTCACACTTTTACTAAGTTCCTGGCAAAAACCAATGCAGACATGTTCCTGTTTTTAGTGTTCTAAATCGCTTTACAACCTAGCTGTTTTTATTTTGTTTTTTAAATACCAATTTCTTTTATTTGTTCTCTCAATTTGTCTGCTTTTTATGATTGTCTACTGTTGTCTTTGTTGTGTACCGTTGTCATCACTCTTTTTTAAAATCAGGTCTCTTTTGTAAATGAGTCCCCGAGGCTCAATGGGATTAACCTGTATAAATAAAGGTTGAATGAAAAATGGAACATGTGTAAATCTACTGCAGGCCATTCTCACTAACTTAATGACTATAGACGGAGAATAATGAGAGACCACAAAGGTACCTGTAACCACTCTGAATGAGCTACAAGCTTCAACGGGTGAGATGAAAGAGAATGAGCATACAACTGTTTCCTGAGTTCAAAAAAGTTTAAGGCAAAAACTGTTGCCTGAGTTCTTCAGAAGACTGAACTTTATGGGAGAGTAGCAAAAAGAAAAGACACTTTTGAAGAAAACAGAATTTGCTTATCAGTTGACAAAGTTGGACATTTTTTGTTGGTCCATCTCATAGAAACTCTTTCCAATTACATTGGATAAAAATTTCTCAAAACATTTTTGATTGGGCTCACCACCCTGATACAATCACTGTCAATGAATCCAACTTTGACTATCTTATCAATATGTTCATCGTTTGTTTAGCAGGGGAGTTTTTTTGTTTGTTATTCTTCTGTAACTTTGTTTATTTAGGTTGTTCTCCAATCTGGATCGCAAAAGCTTTTTTTTTTTTTTTTGGCAAGCCTTTCCTAAATGGGTTGTAAGCTCAATCATTCAGATAGATAACAACAAGAAAAGTTAAATTATGTCATCTGGACCAGTTTATTTAAGTGAAAAAAGTTTTGTCTTCCATCCAGAGGACTTCCTCAGTTTATGGCCTGCCAACCAGAGCTGTCCCACAGGTACCCTGATATTACGTGGTAGGTATTCCAACATCCTGTTGGAATCTCACCTCCAACAATTGAACCACTTTGGCCTTGGTTGTCCATGGGCTGTTTCTGTGAGTAGCAAGTTGGCCATCGGGCCTAAAACATTTGATTGTTGTACATGTTGATTGATTGATTTGGATGGGTGTGTTTTGTACGTGTTAAAAGCTTACTTTTGAGATTCCAACAGGAGGTTGGTTTGAAACACAGCACTGAAGGCTACCTATGGGACAGATCTGGTTGGCAGGCCATAGACTGAGGAAGTCCTCTGGATGGGGGGACGAAACGTTTCTCACTTAAAGAAGCTGGTCCAGATGACAAAATTTAACAACTTTAGTCCTGTCCTAAATGGCTTTAGAATATAAATTACAGTATGTATATTATTTGCTTTAATGGTTGACTTCTTTGTAACTGTTTATTCTTTATCTCATCAATCCATTTCCACATACACCTGCAATCCCTTGTTTAGTCTGTTGTGTTGAAGTGAGGCATTAAGTGAAATATGAATGAACAAGAGACCTCACAGTTAGTTTTGTATCATTTAAAATCCATCATCAGTCAGAAAACAGTTTCAAACAACATAAATGTTGTCAACAGACATCCAAAATATATTTACACTGTCCATCATTTATATTTTGTGTGAAATACTTCTGCAGCAGAGGTAATCATAGAAGATGCATTTAGATCAAGGAAACATTACACAAAATACAAACCATCTACCTTTCTTTTGATAGTATTTACACACACAAATATATATATATATATATATATATATATATATAT